AATGGGAATTGCCCTGCTGGGTTTCAGACTTATTTGATACCAATGATTTCCTATTTCTCCCACTGGATGGAGCCTCTATCCTATGTCTGTCTCATCATTGTTTTTGGAAGCATGTAACTTGCTGTCTGTTTTCACAGGCTCACAGATAGAGAAGAACTTTGCCCCACGGTGATTAACACAATAGATCTCATCTTATAACCGACTTAAATGATTAAGATAATAAGACGGAACTTTGCGTTGAGGACATTTAGATGAAATTTTTGGACTTAGAGTTGATGTGAAATTGTAATGACTTTTAGGGATGTTGGGATGGGATAAATGTATTCGGCATGTGGGAAGGACATGAATTTGAGGGGATCAGAGAACAGACTGTTATGGGTTGAATCGCGTCTCCCCAAAAGACACGAAGTCGTAACCCTTGGTGTCTGTAAATATGACCTTATTTGGGAATAGGGTGTTTGCAGATATAATCATATTAAGATTGCAGTAGGCAGTTAGATAGCAGGCATGATGGACCGGGTGCAGAGGATCACCAAGGTGGAGAGTCCCAGGTGCCTAGCAGTAGGCAAAACTACAAGCCCTTGCACGACCCATTCCCTTAACCATTAACCCCTGGAGATGACATCTAGGCTTCAGCTGTGTTTCAGCTCTAGGCCCAGAGAAATAGCAAAAGCAGATGGAGCAATGCTGTGGCTGACATCAGGACCAGCTGCAATGACTAATGACCCCCTCCCCTCTGGCCGATCAATCAGTGGAGACCGTGAGGGGGTACATCTGGAAGCTGATGAATATTCTATTGATATCCTCTCCCTGAGACCTCAAATAAAAGCTCTCAGGATGGAGAACCGAGCACTGCTCTCTCTATGGCGCACACCCATGCCTTTCCACACCCTTCTGTCCCCCTAAGGGATTCACAAGGGCCCTTCTTTTGCTGTAACTTGTTTCCTTCTATGGCTCACTTCTTCTACCCCTGTGACTTTCTAAGTAAACTTTCTCTTATAGTTTGAGCCTTGGCTCTGCATTCCTTCCTAGCCAGAAATCAAGTACCCAGGTTGCTAAACTGAGGTTAACACCTGGTGCCATTTTCTGCTGATGACTAGATAATATCATACTGGATGAGGGTTGGCCCTAATCCAATACAATTGGTGTCTTTATAAAAAGAGGGAGATTTGTACTAGTACACAGACAGAGTGAAGATGGCCATGTAAAGTCAGAGATAAAGCTCGAAGTGATGCTGCCACAGCCACGAAATGTCTAGGATTTCTAGAATCTGGAAGCAGCAAGGAAGGATCCTCCTCTGGAGGCTTTATAAGGAACTGGTCCTGCCAACACCTTGATTTTGCATTTCTAGCCTCCGGAACTGTGAGAATAAATGTCTGTGGCTTTAAGCCACTCGGGTTGTGGTGCTTTGTCATGGCAATCCTAGGAAACTGAGGGGGGGGGGGCGGGCAGGGGATGAAAGGATTAAGGAAAGACAGATAAGAGAATGAAAGCAGGGTCTCGGTGGGGTGGGACGCTGCTCCCTGATGAGGAGACAGCGCCAGCGCCCACAAGCCGTGTCTTTATTTTATAGCGGATGCCACGAGGCAAAGTAGGGGCGTGATCAAGTTCTTTACAGCATTCTCATGAGTTTCAACCCTACTCAACCACATGTACCTGAACTCTATCACAAGGCATGAAGTTTCAACCTCACTCAACTACATGCCCCCGAACTCTATCACAAGGCACGTGGGGCTATGCGTTCGGACCATGGGTTCAAGCTTACAACCACAGCCGTTGGCTATGATTGTGCTGGGAGGGCCCTGCCCTCCAGCTGGGACTTGCACGTGGCAATGAGAGGACCCTGTCCTTTCATTAGTCTGAGGTTTGAACCTGGCCAAAACACTGTAGCCGCGCCCCATAAAGTGTTGTGCCCGTTTCTGGGATGCTTCATTGTCACCAGCTTAACACTCTTACTGGTCACTAAGTGGAGAAAACATTTTCCTTTCTCCCTGTTGTCCTCAGAAACACAGATGAGAGATCAATCATAAAATGGCTCCTTTGAGCCCTAAAATGATATCAAAACATTCCACAAGAAATGCACACGCAAAGCATTCTTCAGATAATGAAAAATATCAAAATTACAATAAAAATGCAGGTACTTAAAATTTTACTCTAAGGAAGATAGCAAATTACATAGAATTGGTTTTAAGAATGACATTTCTATTTTTACCTTTTTATGATAATTACAATACTGAGAGTAATTAATATAGAAAAACCATCTATTGTATCTTCACAGAGCTAACTCTGATGGGTGGCAAGGCAGATTAATAAACACTCCCCATCATTAGCTGCTGAACAAAAGGAAGCCTGTGAAAGTGGTGTCATCATCCTCATCCGCAAACAGACCGTTAAACCTCTCCCCTCCGGACACCTGCAGCCACACCTCGTCCCCCAGCTTCAGCGGCAGCACAATGCCGCCAGAGGCCTGGTCCTCAGAGCTCATGTAACTGTCCTTCGTGTGCAGTATTTTTACCCCATTTTTGACCAAAGATACCTGCACATTCCTGGAGAACACAGTGATGTGGTAGGTGAAGTAATAGACGCCGGCAATGTGGCAAGTAAATTTTCCCGTAGCTATATCATAATGGCTGAATTCATTATACAAGATCCTGTCAAACTTAATGGGTACGTCTGAAGAAGGAAACTTGCTCAGCACAGTGAGCCCCACAGTGAAAGCACTTTTGGGCAAGACTGGAGTCTCACCAATTTTCCCTTTTTCCCCTCGATCGCCTTTCCAGCCTCTCATTCCCCGGGCTCCTGGCTCACCTTGAGGTCCCAAGGGCCCAGCATCTCCCTTGGGACCCGGCTTTCCAAGGGGGCCTATGGGGCCCTGCAAACCGGTTGGGCCCACAGGTCCACTGCTGCCCTTTAGCCCTGCTGGGCCGATGGGACCCACATCACCTTTCTCCCCCTTTTGCCCTAGAGGACCAGTCTCTCCTCTGAGGCCTTTCTCCCCCATGGGGCCAACAAATCCCTTTGGCCCATGTTTCCCTGGGGGTCCTCTGGAGCCTGGATCTCCTTTGATGCCTTTTGCTTCAACTCTTCCATCTGCTCCTAGGGAGAGAGAGAGAGAGAGAGAGAGAGAGAGAGAGAGAGAGAGTGTAAACCAAGGAAAAATGATTTGTGAAACATTACCTATAAAAACAACTGGTTTTTCTACTATTGAGTATACAAGTGTGATAAAACAGTGTACAGGTTTAGCATATACTCAGGGTTTGAAAATCCATTCATTCTTTTTTTTTTTTTTTAAATATATTCTTCTCCAAAAGCGAGATCTTTGGCTTCCCATACTCTTCAGTATATTTACTTTTTAGGTTAATTCCTTCTATTTAATTAATCTCCTATTGCTGCTGTCATCCTACCACTACCACTACCATCATCACCTC